GTCTAAGTTCGTATCCAAGGCACCGCCGCACTTGTTATCACCTTATCGCCTGTTGGTATGTCAATATCCTGTATCCTGTACCAATGTCTCTATTACTAACAGGAAATTCCAGATAGTACATCTACCTTATATGTGCCTGTCCTTTAGCAAGTACTGAGATCTTTATTACTCAAAAATTACTGTATTCTAGAGCCTCAGTAAGTGTACATTGAGTTTGTAAATGGTAGCATAGTCTCGAATCTCCGCTGTATTTATTGTATTTATCTGTATATATTTACATGAATAGAACCATTTGATTTTATATATTAATAACTTTTTCTGAATAATCGAAAAATCTGAAGGGATAAATATTATCTGCTATTGAGTCTACGGCTGTTAGCGTTCCTATGATAGTCATCCATAGCTTCCACTGCAGCTATCATACTGAAAATAGAGTCATTTGCCATGGACGCTATGGACAGTATCATAGTGTACATAAAGTATGGACACTATGGATGCTATAGAGGCTATAATTGCCTTTATAGTGTTTGCCAACTTTCCTGATGATAGCCCTACATACCACCGCCTATCACTCCTAGCACGGGCGCTGAACCAGATTCTGTGTCAACTTTCCTGATGTAGTGTGTGTGTTTAGCTGGGAAAGCTGTTTCTAGACTTCAGGGATACGAATAAATAAGGTTAGGTGCAGCCATTGATCTGTGTAACCTTGATCACAATGATTTCTATGGATGTAGGTTCAGAAACTGTCTCTTAGGATCAAGTTCAGATACAAATAACTGCTATGTATCTTACACCTCTCAAGGATCTTGTTGATTATCCCTTCCTAAATTAAAAATAAATATATATATATATATATTCGCGCGACAACCATCGCGTAACATCCCATTTGTCTCTCCGTTTATCTTGTCCCTAACTTAAATATATCTCAATTAGCATGGAGTGAAGGTATTATTTAACACCGAATGATAAGCCCATGAGGATAGATGAAAATGAAAAGACCCGCTAACAATGTAACATCGTTCCATCAGAAGTCCACCTATTCAACATACTGTGAGAGATTGACACGATAGTAACTTTATACCATAGCCTTTAGAACTGTAGTTGCCAGAATATTGAGCGAGAGTTTAGACTGTATTATAGGATAACTGGACATTTCACGAATATTTAGAATATACGAGCGAATAATGAAGAAAGTACATACCTATTATCCTGGCTTGACCTTAGAGATTGCTAAGATCAATCATTTCACACATTTCAGCCCCTTATTTAACTATATGATTTTCTTCACATTTTCTCCCTGGTTAATAATTTTGAATTAATACTAGTGCTTTAGTCTGCCGTTCTAGAGCTTAAGGCGTGACGAAACGGTAGAAGGCGATTAAGTACCTGGGTTGCTTGCTGTGGCCGGAATCTTCCATTCAGGATCTTTTACCGGGAGTTGCGCTTTGTTAAAATTGATGCGGGGAAGAAGCAAGCCGTTAAAAATTGTGAGCAATCCAAACATCATATTCCAAGTTTCACCGATGACTCAGGCACAAACTACCTAGGGGCAGCTAGCCAGCTTGGAAGAATGAGGCATTCCTATCAGATTTACTTACCAATGCGTCCATTTCAATACTTATCAAGCAGTCTCCCCGGCCATTTTAATTGTTTTTACTAATTTCAGGATGATATTTGGGTACTTCTATCTCTGATCGAAGCTTCCACTCCTCGCTTTATATAAAAGCAGTTGATTAGATGAGTGAACAACAACGGATCCTCCAACTGCCCGTGTCCGCGCGAAGTTCAGTTTTCAGTGTTAATCTGATCACTCATTTTGGTTTCAGAGCCACGGAGGCAGATAGGTATATGAAGCGTTATCGTAGTGGCGCAATAGCTCAGTGGTAGAGTCCACGATTGCAAATCGTGTTGTCCCGGGTTCGAACCCCGGTTGCTCCTCTTTTGCTATTTTCTCTTGCACTTTTCAGTCCCTTGCTTCAGATAGTTCCCCTCGCAGCTGTCTTTTTGCTTCATTATGGAAGAATATGACCGCAATTGTTTGCTGGGTAAGCCCGATAACGGCCGAAGCTCAGCCCTGAAAGAATGTAAGCCGGTTCCCACGCCTACACTGACCCATACGTGCGTAACACCTGTTGTACACATGCGTCCATCATGGAAGGCCTACCAAACGAGCTCCTCGACAAGATTTCAGAAGTAATGGACTCTCCTAAAGATCTTTTGGCTCTTGCAATGACTTCAAAGATGTGGTGCAACCTCATCATTCCAAATCATCTCGAAACTCGTGTAGTTCGCGCTGAAGGCAGAAGGCGGGTTGTTTGGAAGTTCTTTGCTGAAAATCCACGTCTTGCGGCTCACATTCATACCGTCGAAATAGTCTTAAATGGTTTGACTTCCAAACCAATACTTCCGACTGGACTTCTCGCGGCGTATAGGATAGAAAGCAATACACTGCCTCAAGGTCTATCGAACAAAACCAAGAAGGTCGTTCATCAACTTAGAAAGGCATTGGCGAATATGGTCAACCTTCGATCCTTGGACGTGTACTATGAATCAGGCTATAGGGATATATTCCTGTCATTAGCCGAGAATCCACCACGAAGTCTCCGGGAGCTACGTCTATTCATGCAGCATGAGTACTTTCAGTGCCATCCTGAACACAAGTTATGTAAACAGGTAGGTCGATTATGAATCGACCGTTGCTATGTCCTCACTCTGACCTCCACAAATTCGTAGTTTACTGCGTTCACCGGCCTTTCAAAGGTTCACATAACTATATATGGCACTTTATCTTACCATTCAGCACCATATTTAACGCCTCTTCTTGATATGTTCATATCTGGATGTCCGGACCTAACCGACTTGGGGTTTGTCCTGTACCCCGGGTATAATACCCCAAGATTTCTCAAGCAGGGTACATGGCCGCGACTCAAGCGCTTAACACTGGGTAGCGACATGCTACCTCCCTTACCTCCTAGTTACTTCGGCGTAGTAGCCGATATGGAAGGAATCGAAAACAGATCTTACACGCGGAGAGAGAAAGCAGAAATAATGGCTAGGTTCCTTGCGAGACATCCCCAGCTTGAGGCGCTGAAGATTTTGGAATCGTGTGCATTTTTGCCCGAATGCCTCACTGTCGATGATGTTCCGTCTTTAAAATCATTCTGCTTGAACTCTCGAAATGTTGACCGCGTAGGATACGATAAGGTGGCAGAAGGATGCTTTCCTCTTTCTCAGCTCCTTTCCCCGGAAGTAGCGTCGCAGCTGGAATACTATGAAGGATGGATCACTGATGAATGTCTTCCACTGTTAAGCCGAATGATTTCATTGAAGACATGCGTTCCTTGGCTTCCGCAATTCCAGCTTCTCGGTCCATTCTTGGCGGCTGTTCCACATCTGAAACGAATTTGTTACACGTTTACTCGTTCATACGACAAAAATAATACGTTAGTAAGTGGTCATTTAGCCTTTAACCATTCGCAGAATGATGTTGACGGAGATGCATTCAACAGTGGCGGTATGGTGATTTTATTTCAGAGATTCCGTCACAACTCACACATTGGGGACGTTTTCCCGACATATCGCGGAGTTCGTATCCACTCTGGCCGGGAACTACAACTTCCAAGTTTGAAACGTTTGAAGATGTCTTGAGACGCCTTTCCAAGTTGAAGAACCTCAAGTATTTTCAAGAGCCTACTCCCGGAGGGCGTGACTGGGTGGAGATATTGCGGGATGCTGATGGTAACTATGAAGGTTATCAGCCAACAAAGGATGTGGATCTTCTGAAACATTGGGGAGGCTTTTATGAATCAATGTACTGGACATTTTAGTAAGATATATTAATCTCTTGATGATATATTTTGATGAAAACATTATGGTGTAAATTGTAGACATTAGCTAAATTGCGAGCTGGGGTGAGAACCTTAAGGAAAGTATCGATTGACAAATCACCCGTGGCACCAACCATTGGCAGGACCGTTAGTGAACCGAGATCATTCATACGTATGCTGTGTATTAAAGCTTCTGGAAACAAACAATACTCCTATATACCCTTCCGCATAACAGACGTCCGTTTTCTCGCCCATTTCTTTAATAAATCAAATTGAGGGGTTCCGTGAGGTTTTGGCTTGAATTATACGGATAGGTTGATTCAGCTAGCTATATCACTATAACAATCTGAGAACGCAATCAAACCGAATCATTAGGCATACGTCGACAGAAGGTTGTTTGTGTAGTTCTCCACTGCCAGTGCACTGGACGTGAGAGCTTGTCCCACTGCATTGCGGTATACCAAGGCTCCGGCAACGACAATCGCTGTGAGAGACAACGTCGACAGCAATCGCTGTTGTCTTCTCGTATGATGAAGCGGAGTATACTATATAAGATCGTGAGGTGGACTGTTGCGGAATACATGAGGGTAAGCGTACCTCATAATTCCAAGCACTCCAGGTTGGCCAGAAGCATCTCCACCAGAAATTCAATTGCGACCATGGATACAAAGTTCCGTTCCAGCCATTCTCCGATACATACCACTATATAATATTAGTTGATAAATATGTCACTGGCACATGTCATAACCCACTACTCACACTACTGCAATGAACGAACACTCGAGTCTTCGAGGCCTCCTGGATTTTGGCGACGTATTTTCTCTCCTCGTCTTCCTTGACATCGAACACGCTAGCTTCTCCTTGCAAAACTGGTTTTATGATTTGTAACGCGTATCGTACGTGTTGCTCGATCGTGAATATCACAGAAGTATGTCCAGTCGAGGAATTTGGACCATAGATAATCATGAAATTAGGGACTGGGAAATTTTAGATATTAAACGCAGAGAACATGATAATTACTCACATCCATGGATGGCCGTATTGTTGTAAGCACCAGGCCCACCTTTGCTTGTCCAATGGTCGTCGAGTAGTTGTCCCTTACGACCATATATCTTCACAGGTCCCACGCCTTTATTAGTTATAAATCCAGTGCCATAGATTATCACATCGGCAGGATACTTCTTCCCAGCCGTACGAACGCCGTCAGGGAGGATTTCGACGATTGGATCCTTAGTAAGGAGGAAATTGGGTGAAGGCGTTGCCCTCAAGTAAGCACCGTTGTGGTCGAAGATCCGGCGCTGAAAAAAGGTAAGTTAGCAAATATAATCGAAACGACGTCAGAAAGAAGGGTTCACTGACTTTACACGCCAATGGGAAATCAGGGATGAGGAGATCGTGGTATTTGGCAGGTGCCTCCCTTCGGACTGCTTCTTTCGCGACCTCTTCCCATGACTTCCGCATTTTTGCCCCAGCCTTGTCCATACGGTACATCCGCCATGCGTTTTCTAATACACCGAGGAGAGCTATGCGAATCATCCACAGCAATCCAGGTATGTATTTGAATGCCCAGTGGACAGCGGGAGGGAATTTTGTATTTGCCCATTCGAGAATCCAATGTGGTTGCCGTATGAATTGCGTGACGGATTTAGCGAGGGGAATTATGTTAGGAACAAGTTGGGTTGCTGAGGCTAATGAGACGTTGAGAGGGATCTAAAGAGCAATTTATAGCTGTTGAATACACACATCCGTTGCCAATAACCACTACATTCTTTCCTGCTAAATCGACATCCTGCCTCCATCGGGCGGTATGAAAAGCTGGACCTTTGAAGGATCCAATGCCAGCAATATTTGGATAGTTAGGTTCTGATAGTTGTCCTGTAGCTGAGAATAAGATGCGGCATTCATGGGTGTAGGTGGTTCCGGACGGAATATCTCGGCAATAGATGACCCAGAATTTGCGATTTTCATCCCATTTGGCCATCTCTACCTCGGTCTGGAAGCTCATCCGTGGACGAAGGTCATACTTGTCGACGATGCCATTCAGATAGCCACGGATTTCGGTGTGCGGAGCGGTGAGCGTCGACCAGTCTGTCTTTGGTTCAAAGGACAGGGAGTAAACCAATGAAGGGATATCGCTGGCATGAACGAATTAGTAGGAGAATATTTGGAATAAACTAAAAATTACCATGCACATCCTGAAGGGATTTAGTTGGAGCATCGTAATTGAATTAATTGAGTACATACCTGGGTACCTGTTTGCTTCCCATGTACCAGAATGACTACGACTCCTATCGTAGAAATGGATGTCGGTGAAGCCGTACTTCTGTTTCAGCCTTGCACCAAGGGAGATTGCTGAAATTCCAGCGCCGATGCAGACGATTTCGTTGAAGCGAGGTGGTGTCCCGTGCTTTGACATCGTAGAAAAGTTGAGGAGTCCTAGGAGAACGACGTGGTGTTAGTAAGGTGGCGTGCATTTATATGGTTATGGAATTACCGTTGTATCTTTAGCGATGTCTCTGATAAGTCTCTCGCCTAGAAGCGATATGGACAGCTAAGTCAAATATGTTCTGATCTGAGGGTATACAGGGGTATACGCATCGAATACATCCTGATTAGTCTGGTTCGCATATACTCATGCCCAAAAAAAGTAACCGGACACTCCATATTGGCCCCGGGTGTGGAGCCAATGTGGAGTGTCCGGTTACTTTTTTTCCGCCCCCGGAGCCAATGTGGTGTCCGGTTACAAACCCAAACGCCATTGGTGCTGGTTACTTTATTTGGGCAACAGTGCATATATGCAACGGCAGCTGGCTATTTGCGACACCCAAACCTGCAATGGGGTATATAGGGTCCAATGCTGGCACAACGTATTTTTAGTATTCCCGAACACCGATGTAACCGGGAACTCTGGTTGGCTGACGATGACAAGTGATTGACAGCCTTCTCGTACGCGATACATCAACACTCCTTTTGGACGACTTCTCCATCATCATCAAATGTTATCAGTATTCCTCAGCATTCACCAGAGTTGCCTTTTACATGAGCTGAGTACGTGCTAAGCATATTTGAGACTCACGAAAAATGCGACAGAAGAAAAACAGAATCGATTTT